AGAGAGAGAGAGAGAGAGAGAGAGAGAGAGAGAGAGAGAGAGAGAGAGAGACTAATTTAATGGATAGGAAGAGTACAACGGACTCACAGAAATTAAGGAGTAAGAAAGAAAAGAAGCAAGACCTACCAAAGGCCCCCTCCAGACCCCCTCTTGAACTCTAACCGGTTTACTCATTCACTGTGCCTGCATGCTGTCATTGACCTAAGCTCTTTCCTTTCTGCTTACCATACAATGGTGTCAGCTTGCTGGGCAACAAGATTTTATGAGGAACATGATACTGTATTGTATAAAAAGGTAAGTTAAAGCAAAACAAATTGTCAACTGGTTGGCAAGTTTACAAATACCTAAATTCCTTCACAAGGTATCTAGACATTTTGATTGGGGTCCCTGTCTGAGTAGATTCAAATATATTTTTAAACCCCACACTCTTGAATTATTCGTTGTTTCTGCAATACCCGGGATGATGACACAAAGAAGAAGGAAAAGTCATCATGTAATTTCTTGATGAAAAGTCACAGGAGTATCAATATGTGTCACGACATGGTAGAATCAGGCGCTCGTCAATGTTTGGGCATGTGAAGTTATTGGTGTCATCGTAAAGCTTGCTCATATGACTATCTTTCGATGAAACCAATGCCCATCTCACTTGTGTAGAAGTCGAGGTATTTGCCCTTGGAGGAGGTGGGGTGGGGGGTGGGGGGTCGCTTGGATTCAGAGGTAAAATTAGCGAGAAAAGAGCCGCCACAGTTTGGTGATTTCCAAATCTTGAGAGTCCTTGGAAACAGAACATTTACAATTAATTGCGTGCCTTTAATCAACGTTTCTCAGTAAAATCCACTCAGACATGTGTCTTTAAAAGGACATAAAAGGTGTCGAGCAGAAGGAAAACAACAAAACAACAATTAAAAAAAAACTCCCCACATAATAAAAATTCGATAAAAATTGCTGAACCTGCGGGAAAACGCCAGTACCTTCCATTTCATTATTTTGACGAGCACTTGATTTTACCACGATGACTCACATATAATTTTATTCATGCTACGATCATTACAGTATTCGGTGTGCCCAGTGCCCAACAAATGACCGCCTAGACCTCTTGTTGATTGGACATAAATGTAAATGTGTGCCGTCCCTGTGGACACATTTGATTCACCCGACCCGATCAGCCAAGACCCAGTCACGCAGATCACAATAGAACATTCCAGCCGCCTCATGGAGATACTGGATAAATAAATAGACTCCTCACGAAGAAATCAAAGCCCATTCTTCTGCTTGTAAGGGCAAAACTAGTAACCATCAAAAACGATTGTCAAATGTTCGTTTTTAAACCGCCATAGACACAATTAGGATACTTTAGGCGGTGTGTTTTGACTCTGCCTGTTACGGGCCAACCCGGGCTGAAAATAAGTTAACGTCCCTTTATAAAGACCGAGATACTCGATAAAAATTCTTCCCACATGAGAATCGAACTAGGGTCTTTTGCGTGATACGACAGAGCGCCTAACCGCTACTCCATATAGGCCGGTACATCATCTTTACAGTACAACACAGACGTCGGAGGGCTGGCGCTGGAATACAGCTCCCTATCAGACAGAACATCTAGCTCTCGCTGGCAGCACAATTGAAGGTAAAGGAGGCAGTAGATGTAAGCCCAAAGCAGCCTACTTGGAGAACCTAAATAGATGGGTAACGGGGAAAGATCAGGGAAATGTAACTTTTTAAAGAGCACCCGAGCAAAGAAACGAATGAAGAACCATAATCACTGATGTCTATCGCAGATATGGCATATGAAGATGAAGATGGTAATGATGAGGTTGACGATCAGACCGACGTAAATACCGATGATAAATAAACTTCTCCATCTCCACACGATGGAAACATGTACGTCTTCTGCCGACACGAGCAAGAGCCTAACTAACAATCATTACAAAACACACACAGGAGAGCACATCAGTTTGACGGCACCGTCGAACTTGTCAAAGACGACCCAAATGTCGAGGAGAAAATCGATCATCTCAGACAGATGGTTGGCCTTCTCGGACAGTGCCATTATGATATGGAAACATTTAAAGTTGGGCGGG